AGTACTGAGGGAGCGCTGCACTGTCAGAGGGTCAGTACTGAGGGAGCACTGCACTGTCAGAGGGTCAGTACTGAGGGAGCGCTGCACTGTCAGAGGGTCAGTACTGAGGGATCGCTGCATTGTCAGAGGGTCAGTACTGAGGGAGCACTGCACTGTCAGAGGGTCAGTACTGAGGGAGTGCTGCATTGTCAGAGGGTCAGTACTGAGGGAATGCCGCACTGTCAGAGGGTCAGTACTGAGGGAGCGCTGCACTGTCAGAGGGTCAGTACTGAGGGAGCGTTGCACTGTCAGAGGGTCAGTACTGAGGGAGCGCTGCACTGTCAGAGGTTCAGCAGTGAGGAAGTGCTGCACTATCAGAGGGACAGTAGTCAGGGAGTTCTGAACTGTCAGAGGGACAGTAGTGAGGGAGCATTGTCAGAACATCTGTATCCAGGGAATACTGCTCTGTGAGAGTGTGAGTACTGACAGAATTTCACACTGTCAGAGGTGCCATATTTCACATACTTTGTTAACTTGGAATCTCATCTGCCTTCTCAAGTGGAGATTAAAGAAACCCTGCTCTTTAATTTGAAGAAGAGCGGGGCTGGTCTCCCCAGTGTATTGGCAAATGTTTATTCCTCAAACAATATCATCCAAACAGATCACCTAGTCATTCTTGGGAGTTTGTGAGTGCAAATTATTATTGATTTGATTTGATTTATTATTGTCACATGTAACGAGATACAGTGAAAAATATTGTATTATGTGCTAACCAAACAAATCACTCCTTACCTAAGTACATCAGGGTAATAGAACAGAAAGCAGAATAGTGTTACTGCTACAGAGACAATGCAGAGAAAGATCAACTCTAATGTATGAGATGTCTGTTCATAAATCTGATAGCAACAGGGAACAAGCTGTTCTTGAATCTCATGGTATATGTTTTCAAACTTTTGTAGGATGTGCCTGATGGAAGAGGATGTAACTGGGGTGGGAGGGGTCTTTAATTATGTTGGCTGCTTTGCCAAGGCAATGGGAAGTGTAACTGGAATAAATGGAAGGAAAGGTGGTTTTCATGATGAATTTAATTGATTACACTTCAAAAAGTGTTTCATTGACTGACACATTTCAGGCCATTCTGAGCTAGCACTATCAAAAAGCAAGTTATTTTTTTCTTCGGTCTATCGTATTGTGTCTTGCCTTAAAACACGACTGCTCCACGATGAGCTGAAGCTCAGTTGATCAAGTTGTTAATCTGAAGGGAGTTTCTGCAGTTCCAGGCTTTTAGCACCAGGTCACGCTTTCAGGCTGGGGATATTGGGCAGGTTGAAGTTTAGCAATGTGGTGCTCATCTCCCTTATCTATCACATCACTGGAATTAAACCCAGAGAAAGGCAGATAGAGCATACAGCCTTCATCATGAGGAACAATCTGCTGGCAAATCATTCCCTGTCCCATCTACTCCTTCCGTTCACCATCACTGATGCCATAGCAAATTGGTATTCCACTGCAATTCATGCACAGATTCTGAGAATCCCTGACAAGACCAGCATTATTGCCCATTCCCAATTGCCTTTGAGAAGCATATTATTAAACCAGGTGGTTTTATATGATAATCTGACAGCTTCATGGTCACAATTGTGGTTATAACTTTGATTTCCTGATTTATATAATGAACTGAATTTAAGTTCTCCAGCTGCTGTGCTGGGATTTAAATTCCTAAACCCAATTCTTCAAAATATTAATCCTAAACGTAACCATGATCTTAAAAGAACTGGCACATTAGACAATTAAGGCATTGGCTTTAATGTTCAAAAATTTCCTAGATTCAGGAAGATTCCAAAAGATTGGACAATTAAGAACATAATTCCTTTATTCAAAAAAGGAGGGGGATAGAATGTAGGAAGTTACAGATCAAAGACCTTAATATTTGTCATATGGAAGATGCTACCAGCTGTTATTAAAGATGTTATAGCAGAGCACTCAGAAAAGTTCATGGCAATCAGGTAATGCCATTATGGTTTTGTAAAAGGGAAATCATACTTAATCAACTTATTGCTGATCTTTTAGGAACTAAAATGTGCTGTAGAAGAGGGGGAACTGGTGGATATAATGTATTTAGATTTCCAGAAGGCATTTGATAATGCACCACATTGTGGAAAATGAAAGCTCATGGTGTAGGGGTTAACATTTTGGCATGGATTGAAGATTGCCTGGCTGAGACAAAATACAGAATAGGCATAAATGGGCCATTTTTTGGTTGGTCCACAGCGGTCAGTAATGGAGCCTCAACTTTTTTTATGATTTATATAAATGACTTAGATGAAGAGAGTGAATGTATGGTTGTTAAATTTGCTAACAGCAAAAAGACACAACAGTCCAAAGACATGCAGGTTAGGTGTTTTGGCCATGCTGAAATTGTCCATGGTGTTCAGGGATATGTAGGCTAGATGGATTAGCCATGGTAAATGCAGGGTTACAGGGAAAGGATAGGGGTGTGGGTCTGGGTTGGATGCTCTTCAGAGGGTCAGTGCAGACTCGATGGGCCGAATGGTTTCCTTCCACATTATAGAGGTTCTATGATTTTACCAAAGCAAATTATGAGCAGGACTCTCAAAGTGCTATAGAGGTATGGACAGCTTAAGTGAATGGCCCAAGGTCTGGGAATAGTGTATCATATGGGAAAGCGAGATATGTGAATTTTGGCAGAAAGCTTAAAAAAAACATATTATCCAAATGAGAAAGATTTGTATGTCCTGGTGCATGAATTGAGTATACAGGTAATTAGGAAAACTAATTGAATGTTATTGTTTCTTGTGAAGGGGAGATTGAATACAAAAGTATGGAGTTTGTGCTTCAGTTATATATGACATTGATAAGACCACATCTGGATACTATATACAGTATTGGTCTCTTTATTTAAGGAAGAATATAAATGCATGGAAAGCAGTTCAGAGAAGGTTTACCAGCCTAATATCTGGAATGGGTGGATTGTTTTGTGAGAAAAGGTTGAACAGGCTAGGCCTGTATTGGATCTTAGAAAAATAAGAAGTGATTTAATTGAAACATGTAAGATCCTGAGGGATCTTGACAGGTTGAATGCAAAAAGAATGTTTCCTCTTGTGGAAAACTCTGGAACTAGGGCTCACTGTGTAAACATAAGGAATCACTTATAATTTTAAGGCAGATGCAGATAGATTCTTGATGAGTAAGAAGGTGAAACATTATCAGAATGTGGACTAATTAGATCAACCATGATCTTATTGAATGGCAGAGTAAGCTCAAATGGCCAACTCATCTATTCTGTGGTTAATTTGTATATTCATATGTTGTGGGAATTTGGTCAATTGGAAGCTTCAAACTGTGGGCAGATGATGCCAGTGAAAATGGAAAGCTTTATTCCTCTAATTGGTCTGTGTGCTTTAAACAACATTTAACCATCACAGTGTTAATATTGAGAGGCCCATTGTCTCATCTTTTGAACATAACAGTTTTAGTGTGTCCACCTCCTCTTTTTTATCCACCACTTCAAACTGTTCTCCATTTGCCCCTTCCTCTGCCACCCGTCACCCTGCTCCTCCTGTCCTTCCACCTCCTGTCATCTCACCTTCTCTCCCTCCTCTGTCTTCTCATTCCAATTCCTGTCCAGCCTCTTCCTGTCCCTCCACTCTCTGTCTCCTCTTCTATCTCCTCCACTGCCAACTTCTCTCTCTCTTCCCCTTCTCTTCTTCCTCCTCATCCTCTGGCTAATGACAATTTGTTACATTTCAGGTTCTCCAGGTCGCAAAGGGGATCATGGTGACCAAGGGACCCCAGGCCCAGCTGGAATGAAAGGATTGCCTGGAATTCCTGGTATACAGGGATCCCTGGGGGATGCAGGATTCCCCGGACCCCCTGGTCGTTTCGGACTGGATGGTTTGCCAGGTCTTGATGGCCTGAAAGGTAACATATAAGTAGAAATCATTTCAGCCAGTTCTACTGATTAAATACTAATAGCAACTTTCTGATAAACCAATCCCTCTGAATCAAAGAGTGTAAACGTCCAAGAAATAATGTCTTGTGTGCTTGCTGTGTAAACAAATGAACTGAATGTTCTTTTTTCAATGGAGATTAACTGGAGAACTCCAGCCTAGGTTGAGGACAGGTCTGTTACCCTATTTTCCCTTGTTACCTTTACTGGGGTAAACAACATACCCTCATACTAGGTATAGAAATTATATCCTCATTCTGTGACTATATGTCCATTCTGTGAACCACACTGGGGTATAACACTGTACCCACACTGAGGTATAACTCTATACCCAAGGATCTCTGACCCACTTGAAGTATTGCACTGTACACCATTCCGTGACCTAGATTAGGCTATAATAATACAGGCTGATTCGTGAACTCACAATATTGTTTAGCTCTGTATCTGTCCCCTTGTAATAACAATGTGGATGATGGCTAGTCTGCTGTCAGCTGGTTCTGAGCTCTGCAACTGACATAATGGCATTGCGTTCATTCATCCATAGAGTCATACAGCACGGAAACAGACCCTTTGGTCCAACCAGTCCATGCGAACCATAATCTGAAACTAAACTGGTCCCACCTGCCTGCGCTTGGCCCATATCCCTCCAAACATTTCTTATTCACGTACTTATCCAAATGTCTTTTAAATGTTGTAACTGTACCCACATCCACCATTTTATCTTCCTTTAGGTCTGAAAGGTTCACCAGGAATGGCGGGATTCCCCGGTGTTAAGGGAGTTAAAGGTCGACCCGGCCTCACAGGCTTGAAGGGGGATGCGGGATTCCCTGGAATTACAGGGAGCAATGGTCTGAGTGGAGTGAAGGGTATTAAAGGTAAGAGTCAGTCTACAACAGCATCCTTCCTCCGAGTTCGTGTTTGTGAGGCTTTTGAAAAACACCTTTACGACAAGGGAACAATCTCATCCCGAGTACTATTAAAGAAGCTGAGCCCCGATTGTACCTTTATGTATGGTATGTACCTATCGTGATTATAGATTGATGTCCAGCACTGGGAGAGCTGCAGTATCAGAGGTTTCATTACGCAGCTCAGATCTCAAACTGATAAGAAACTCACTTTCAAAACAAAATGTTGCAAAGTTCTGTCTGAAACATGACTAAAAAGCGCAACTAAGCTTCTTGTCTTCTTGAATCCTCTTTATCTGTGGTTCGTTGAGGTAATTCCATCGTCATACATTCAGTGCACAACTCACCAGGAAATCCGACAGATTCCTAGGACTTCCTATTTCCATTCAGTGAAATTCCTTATCTCCAATTCATACTCCCAGAATCCCAATACTCTGTTCCAGGGAATGCAGTCAGGAATGTTCAGCTTACTGTCTATATGCACAAATCTATCAGCATAGCCATCCTTAGCCAAGCAGAAAGCATTTGATGCATCAGTTTTGTTCAGGTTTTGTTAGATGCCAGTCTGATTTTCTCAACCTTTCCCCACCACAGACCTCAAAACAAAATATTGTTCTTTGGGTAATGGAAGGCTAGAGTGCCCAGTGGACCCAGACTAGGGTTTTAGAAGGATGCTAGGGGAGTTTGTGGGAAAGCAGGTGTAAAAGGGTGACAGAGGGGAGGATAAAAAATTTAGAATTATGTTCTACAAGAAACTAATTGTGTATATAGTAGAAGCACAGCTGCATCCTGTCAGATATTAAAGGAATCAAACTGATCCAATCTTCAGCTACATACATTGGGCACATACCAATCATGGACATGCCTCATCAGAAGCAAAGGCTTTGTGCCAATGACAGGTTGTTACAGAGTGACGCTGTCTTATTTTTGACCACAGGTGACCGTGGAGAGACTGGGCCTCCAGGACCACCTCCACCTATCGAACCTGCCATGATGGTGAGAGTGAAGGGGGAGAAGGGTGATGATGGTTTACCTGGGGAACCTGGATTTGTTGGTCCCAGAGGTAAGTACTGCTATAATATAAAAACTGAAACAAAAAAATGAATATTTGAGTTTGTTCTTTGATTTTTTGCCAGTTGCATATTGCCTCTGAAACGAGGTATAATCATATATCTTTCCTCATTGTTTAGAACACTTTCCCCAGTCTGTGTTGCTGTTTGATCGAATCTTGTCAAACATCTTGGGTGGACATGAGAATTTTTTTTGTACTCAGTGACTTGTTGGGCCTGGGAATGTACTGTGTGAAGGGGCAGTGAAAGTAGCTTCAGTCACTTTCGCAAGGAAGTTACAAAGCAAATAATTGCAGGACAATGGGGAAAGTTTGATTTGATTTATTATTGTTACATGTACCTAGGTACAGTGAAAAGTTTAGCTTTGCGTGCTGTACAGGCGGATCATACCATACAAAGTGCATTAGGGTAATAGAACGGAATGACGAATACAATGTTACACCTGCAGAGAAGGTACACAAACAATGAGATCAACATTAAATTTAAAATTTGAGAGGTCCATTCAGAAGTCTGATAACAGCGGGGAAGAAGCTGATCTTGAATCTGTTGGTAAGTGTGGTAAGAGCTTTTGTATCTTCTGCCCAATGGAAAAGGTTGGAAGAGATTATAAATGGGATGGGAGGGGTCTTTGATTCTGTTGGCTGCCTTCCTGAGGCAGCAGGAAGTGTAAATGGAGCGGGGGTGTGGCATAATTTGAATAGCTCTTTCAAAGACACAGCACAGGCACAATGGGCTAAATGGCCTGCATCAGTCTTTGATTCTGAGCTCTTTTTTGGACTTCAGAGAAGTGTAATTCTTTATACTCTCAGATTGGCAACACTGATTATATCCAAATTGACTGGTATGAAAGATACAGTGTGAATGAAATGGTTGTGTTTGGGACTGTGTCTTTAACTTAGAGTAAGAGAAAGGCAATCATATGATCTCGGAGATAGTAGGAACTGCCGATGCTGGAGAATCTGAGATAACAAGGTGTAGAGCTGGAGGAACACAGCAGGCCAAGCAGCATCAGAGGAGCAGGAAAGCTGACGTTTCGGGTCTGGACCCTTCAGAAAATTACGATCTATTGCCTAACAGCAAGGCTGGCTAATGTGGCTGAGTAAAGATTAAAGGAAGGCCTGGATTGTTTGCTGAAAAGGAAGTGTAGGTGTTCACATTTGGCATCAACAGTAGCAGCATCCATATTTACAGTGGCTTGACTGCTGGTCCCCAAAATCCCAGGAAGGTGTTGTATATATTGGGTTACTACCAAGATAAAAAAAACAGTTGGATAGACAATCCGATTTTATAGGTGGACAAAGGCCCCACGTGATTCACAACACCATGGAGTTGGGCTCTGAAGTGGGAAATGTTTCTAAAATGTCTCCTAAAATCTCAGACCCAGGTAATGGGACAGGATCTGAGAGAGTGGTCACAGTTGGAGGTTAAAAGTCTCAATGGTCTATCGCACTGAAATGTGGGTGGGGGTTTGTGCTTGGCTTAATAAGACCAACCTTGTGAGCATATGAAACAAGATTCATCTAGCTTACACACAAGATAATTTACAGCAAAAGCTCTTAGTGTGAAAAACAATTCTAGAGTAAAATGTTACTATATTGGGAATGAAAGCAACAGAATTAAACCCTCAGGAGCTAAAGATCAAATTGGATTTGTTCCAGGAGAACTGAATGACTACTTATGGGACAAGATAAACGATATCCTTGAAGTGGTTTTTCTTTCTCAGTTCTATTAAAAGTAAAAGGGGAACTCAAAGTCTGGACTTCTATGAGGTGCTGTAGGCCATCAACAGCAGCAGAACTGGACTCCAGACCAATCTGCAACATCAGGCCCAGCATATCCCCCACTCAACCATTACCATCAAGTCAGGGGATCGACTCTAGTTCAATGAAGAGTACAGGAGGACATGCCAGGAGCAGCACCAGACATATCTATCAATGAGGTGTCTGGTGAGGATACCAAACAGGACTACTTCCATGGCAACAGCATAAGCAGCAAGTATAGTGGATCACATCTAGGCTCTGCTGTCATGAATGTTCGTGGACAATTAAACAATTTGCTGCTTTTTAAACAACTAGGTCATTGGGAGAAGCTGGATAGGCTTGGACTTTTTGCACTGGAGCATAGAATGTTGAGGGGTGACCATATAGAGGTTTATTAAATCACGTGGGGTATAGATAAGGTGAATGGCAAAGGTCTTTTCTCTTGGGTTATGGATTTCAATACTAGGGAGCATATTTTTAAGGTGAGGGGGGCAAGATTTAGAAAAGACATGAGGTGCAACTTTTTTACTCAGAGAGTGGTTCATATGTGGAAAGAACATCCAGAGGAAGTGGTGAATGCGGGCACAGTTACAACATTTAAAAGACATTTGGATAAGTACATGAATAAGAAATGTTTGGAAGGATATGTGCCAAGTGCAGGCGGGTGGGACCAGTTTAGTTTGGGAAACTTGGTCAGCGTGGACTGGTTGGACCAAAGGATCTGTTTCTGTGCTGTATGACCCATGACGTTACACTGGAGGAGGGGATGCACAATCCTCAATAACGAAAGAGCCCAACACATCAGTGCAAAAGATAAGGCTGAAACATTTGCAGCAATCGTCAGCCAGAAGTGCTGAGTTAATTATCTATATCTGACTGTTATTAGTCTTCAGCCAATTTGATTCAGTCCATGTGATATCAAGAAACAATTGAAGGTATTGGATACTGCAAAGTCTAGTACTGAAGACTTGTGCTCCAGGACTTGCCACGCCCCTAGCCAAGCTGTTCCAGTATAGTTACAACACAGGCATCTACCTGACAATGTGGAAAATTGCCCAAGTATGTCCTGTACATAAAAAGCAGGACAAATCCAACCCAGCCAATTACTGCCCCTTCAGTCTACGCTCAAACATCTGTAAAGTGATGGAAGGTGTCATCAACAGCGCTATCAAGCAGCAACTGCACAGCAATAACCTGCTCAGTGACGCCCATTTTGGGTTCCACCAGAGCCACTCAGCTCCTGACCTCATTACAGCCTTGATTCAAACATGGACAAAAGAGCTGAATTCCAGAAGTGAGATTGAGAATAACAGCCCTTGACATCAAGGCTGCATTTGACTGAGTGTGGCATCAAGGGGCATGAGAAAAACTGAAATAAATGAGCATCAAGGAGCAAACTCTCCATGGTTAGAGTCATACCTGACACATAGGAAGATGGCTGTGGTTGTTGGAGGTCAGTCATCTCAGCTCCAGGATCTCACTGCAGGAGTCCCTCAGGTTAGTGTCCTAGGTCCAATAACTTTCTGTTGCTTCATCAATGACTTTCCATCCAACATAACGTCAAAAGTGGAGATATTCACCAATGATTGTACAATGTTCAGCAACATTTTCAACTCCTCAGATTCTGAAGCAGTCTATGTTCAAAAGCAACAGGGTCTGGCCAATATCCATGCTTGGGCTGACAAGTGGCAACTAATATTCATGCCACAAAATAACAGGCATTGACCATCTCCAATAAGAGACAATCTAACCACTGCCCGTTGACATTAAGTAGTGCTACCATCACTGAATTCCCCCATTATCAACATCCTAGGGGGTTACCCATTGATCAGAAACTCAACTGGACACACCACATAAACGCAGTGGCTATAAGAGCTGGTCAGAGGCAAGGAATACTACAGCAAGTAACTCACCTCCTGTCTGCCCAGAGCCTGACCACCATCTACAAGGCACAAGTCAGGAATGTGATGGAATACTCCCCATTTGCCTGGATGGGTGCAGCCCCAACAACACTCAAGAATCTTGACGCCATCAAAAACAAAGCAGCCCACTTGATTGGCACTGTATCCACAAGCATTCACTCCCTCCACCACCGACGCTCAGTAGCAGCAGTGTGTCCTATCTACAAGATGCACTGCAGAAATTCACCAAAGATCCTAATACAGCACCTTCCAAAGCCACGGCCACTTACATCAAGAAGGCCAAGGGCAGCAGATACATGGAAACACCACCACCTGTAAGTTCCCCTCCAAGCCACTCATTATCCTGACTGGGAAATATATCGCCATTCCCTCAATGTCGCTGAGTCAAAATCCTGGAATTCGCTCCCTAATGGCATTGAGGGTCAACCCACAACAGGAGGACTGCAGTGGTTCAAGAAGGCAACTCAACACAACTTTCTCAAGGGCAATTAGGGAGGGCAATAATGCTGACCCAGCCAGTGATATCCAAGTCCCATGAGTGAATAAAAAGAAGGAAATTTCTGAAAGCATAAACTATGTTTAGTCATTGCTTTTAGCCGGGTTACTGGCATAAAAATCTTAAAACATGAAGTCTTGTTGTGAAATCTTTCAGTTATCAACTGGAAATTTGGATTTCTTTTAAAGGTTTTGCTTTCTCTGGAGATAATAACACTGGAATTCTTGTTTTTGTCATCCAAAATCTGTCATCTTAGATTTCTCTGCATTAAATTTAATCCAAAATCAACCTGCTCAACTCACTTACAACCTGTTTTACAGTTTACTGCTTTTTGCCAACTGTGGGGAGACTTTACTCTGCACAGGGACACCACCAGCAACAGCCTAGGGAGGGGTGGGGAGCAACTGTGGTCAAAGAAGGGTCACTGGGCATTAAGGGCAATCCTTGCAGCCCCACTGGGCTCCCCTGAGGGGCGTTCCACCAAGGCAATCACGCCATGAATTTTTAAAATTGTTCCTTCACCTACCTCCTGTACACTCAATGTCTCCTACGTTCCTCAGTAGTGCCCACCCCTCACAATACCCACCTCTCCTGATACCATCACTCCCAGTGGTACTGTTGAGGCTTCTGAGCTGCTGGCCTGTGATTGGACCAATAGCACAAACAGCCTGCCCACCATTCTTCATTGGGGAGCCAATTGGAAGGCTTCCTGTGGTTATATTGCCAGGCAGGTTCCTTAGCCCAGACTCCAGACGTACTTTTTATCCCCTGTCAGGGTCCCGGCAACCTCTGTAAAATCCAGCCCTTTGTTGCTAATTGAAACATTCCCAACTTCAATCCAGCTTCCGCATTACCCACGTCCAGAACTTTAGAAAAAAGTCGTGGTATTGTTTAAATACCTCAATGATTTCTCCCCTGGGTTTTTCCTCAGAGCAGTTTCTTGGATATTAATCTTCGATTCCTTGGGGACCCCAATCCTATCCTGGACAGTTAACAAAGCCTACCTTAAAGGGTAGGGTTTCTCAATTGCTCATTGAGCAACACTGGGAACTCTGATGAAAGCTCAGCCAGGCTGGGGTCCACACAGTTTGAGTGTTCTCCACTGCGTCCAGAAGCATAGGGACATTCCCTCACTGTCTCACAACTTGAGGGCAGTGGCCAGGTGAGGCCTGGTCTGTGGGAATTGGCTGCTAGCATTTAGGGTTAGGGTTAAAACCATGTTTTCTTTTTAAATATAACTGGGAGTAGGAAACCCAATACAGATAAACATTTAAAGTGATTATCGGTGCATGCAATGCTGTAAGGGACTGTGTGAGTTCATGTCTGTGCCAGTCACGTTATGTTTTAATGAACATGATTTATTTGCTGAAGAGTTGGCTTGCACCAAAACAACATGAAAAATGTTGTGTATGTACGACCTCAGATTGCTCCCTGGACGTTTTGTGTTCGGCCTCAATAACTCATTCATGGTCAACATGCTTTCTCCAGAGCTGTGGAATTCAGAGTCATAGAGTCCTACAGCACTGAAACAGACCCCTCGGTCCAACTAGTCCATGCTGACCATAATCCCAAACCAAACTGGTCCCACCTGCCCGCATTTGATCCATATCCCTCCAATCCTTTCCTATTCAAGTACCTATACAAATGTCTTTTAAACGTTGTAATTGTACCCACATCCACCACTTCCTTTGGAAGTTCATTCCTTGTAGCCTGAATCACCAGAACCTAGTATCCAAGTTCAGCAGGTCACAGGGAAGGCAAATGGTCCGTTGGGATTTATTTCAAAGGGAATGGAGGATAACAACAGGGAGGCCTTGCTAAAACTATATAAGGCTCAAACTACAAACGATACAAGACCACACTTGGAATATTGTGAACAGTTTTGTTCCATATATCTAAGGAAAGATATATTGGCACTGGAAGCAGCCCAGAGAAGGTTCAGCAGGCTGATACTAGGTATGGAGAGACTGTCTCAGAGGAGAGGTAGGCTAAGTTGGGCCTGTATTTTGTGAAGTTTAGAAGAATGAGAGGAGACCTTATTGAAACAGATAGGATTCTTAGGGGACTTGACAGGGTAGACACAGAAATGTTGTTTCCACCTGTTGGAGAATCTAGGACCAGAGGGCATAATCTCCCAGAGTAAGGAGTTGCCCAATTAGAATAGAGGCGAGGATTTTTTTTTCTTTCATAGGGTGGTCAGTCTGTGGATTCTTTACCACAGAGGGCTGTCAAGGCTGGGTTGTTAAGTAGTTTTAATGCCTAGATTGATTTTAAATCAGTAAGGGAATAAGGAGTTATGGCAAAAAGGCCAGAAAGTGGAGTTGAGAATTATCAGATTAGCCATGATCTCATTGAATGGTCGAACAGACTCGATGGGCTGAATGGCCCACTTCATTTCCTGTGCCTGATGATTTATCATTGTGGACAGCATAGCTCGCCTCACACATCCCTACTCCTCACATTACAAACACAGGATTCAGGAATAGATATAGGCCACTGGTTTACTCCGTAAGGCATCAGTTGGAATCATTGAACAATATGTTCAATACTGCATTCTTCAAAATGAACCTAGCACTCAGGAAGATGAAGTTTAGACATGCACCTTTAAAAATAATCATTCCAGTGATCTCTCGGCTATTCTACTAATTTGCATCCATCAGAAACTTGACCATTTTAGCTACGTGCCCGCTGACTAACAACAGCTCAAGTTTAAAATTCTGAAGATCAATTTTTAACCTCTAAAAGGTCACATCCCTCCCAATTTCTGCAATCTTCTCTGGCTCCACAGCCCTCTGAGATCTTTGCACTCCAAATTCTGGTATCTTGTGTATTGCAGTTATAATTACTCCACCGTTAGTGGCTGTGTCATCAGTAGTCCAAGTACTGAGCTTTCAAATTCCCTCCCCTAATCTCCCTGACTCTGGCATCTCCTTTTAAGGCACAATTTAAAACCTAACTCCTTGACCAAGCTTTTGCTTCCGTGTCCAAATATCTCCTCACGTAGCTCCGTGTGAAATTTTTGTCTGATTCATGTTCTTGGAACGTTTCTCCAAATTAAAGGTTCTATATGAACACAAGTTGTTATTGGTGTCCTTCTGCTCAGAGACCAAAGGAATTAGAAAACTTGAGAGCACAGTCAAGTTTGCTTCTGTTGCTTTTTTGGATCAGGGTCGAAGGGGATGCCAGGATATCCAGGACAGCAAGGACAGCCTGGTCTCCCCGGAACACCAGGACAACAGAAAGGATTTCCAGGAATTCCAGGTGTGCCAGGAGACCCTGGAAGCAAAGGGATGCCGGGATCTCCTGGACCTCCAGGCATTAGTGGTTTCCCTGGGATGTTTGGTGAGAAGGTGGGTTTGAAATAAATTGTTTGTGTGTCACCCGGATTTATTTACACAGGGTACAGATTTTGTTCCCAGTATCAAGAGCAGCTGAATAGCATGCATTCTCAGGAGAGACGCAGATTTCTGGCTTCATAGTGCCCTATAGAGGTCTGAGATCATAATCCAGAGTGACACTCCCAATGCAGTGCTTAAGGAGTGCTGCACTGTCAGAGGGTCAGTACTGAGGGAGTGCTGCACTGTCAGAGGGTCACCACTGGGGGAGTGCTGCACTGTCAGAGGGTCAGTACTGAGGGAGCGCTGCACTGTCATAGGTTCAGTGCTGAGGGAGCGCTGCACTGTCAGAGGGTCAGTGCTGAGGGAGCGCTGCACTGTCAGAGGGTCAGTACTGAGGGAGTGCTGCACTGTCAGAGGGTCAGTACTGAAGGAGCGCTGCGCTGTCAGAGGGTCAGTACTGAGGGGAGCGCTGCACTGTCAGAGGGTCAGTACTGAAGGAGCGCTGCGCTGTCAGAGGGTCAGTACTGAGGGAGTGCTGCACTGTCATTGAGTCAGTACTGAGGGAGTCCTGCGCTGTCAGAGGGTCAGTACTGAGGGAGTGCTGCACTGTCAGTGAGTCAGTATTGAGGGTGTGCTGCACTGTCAGAGGATCAGTACTGAGGGAGTCCTGCGCTGTCAGAGGGTCAGTACTGAGGGTGCGCTGCACTGTCAGAGGGTCAGTACTGAGGGAGCGCTGCACTGTCAGAGGGTCAGTACTGAGGGAGCGCTGCACTGTCAGAGGGTCAGTACTGAGGGAGCGCTGCATTGTCAGAGGGTCAGTACTGAGGGAGCGCTGCATTGTCAGAGGGTCAGTACTGAGGGAGTCCTGCGCTGTCAGAGGGTCAGTACTGAGGGAGTGCTGTGCTGTCAGAGGGTCAGTACTGAGGGAGCGCTGCATTGTCAGAGGGTCAGTGCTGAGGGAGTGCTGCATTGTCAGAGGGTCAGTACTGAGGGAGCGCTGCATTGTCAGAGGGTCAGTACTGAGGGAGTCCTGCACTGTCAGAGGGTCAGTACTGAGGGAGTGCTGTGCTGTCAGAGGGTCAGTACTGAGGGAGCGCTGCACTGTCAGAGGGTCAGTGCTGAGGGAGTGCTGCATTGTCAGAGGGTCAGTCGTGAGGGAGCGCTGCATTGTCAGAGGGTCAGTACTGAGGGAGAGCTGCACTGTCAGAGGGTCAGTACTGAGGGAGAACTGCACTGTCAGAGGGTCAGTACTGAGGGAGCGCTGTACTGTCAGAGGGTCAGTGCTGGGGGAGCGCTGCACTGTCAGAGGGTCAGCACTAGGGGAGCGCTGCGCTGTCAGAGGGTCAGTACTGAGAGAATGCTGCATTGTCAGAGGGTCAGTGGTGAGGGAGCGCTGCACTGTTAGAAGTACAATCTGTTGGATGAAATATTTAAACAAAGCTCTGTCTGCTGTCTAAGGTGCCTTGAGATGAACAGACTACCAACAATAAACACAAATAGGTGGTACATTGCCAGCAGCCTGATCCATGAAGTGCAGGAGTTCTTACTGTATTCAGGGTCAATTTCAACCAAGGGCAGACAGAAACTTACTATCCAGACAGTCTGGCATTGCTGTTAGTGGGAGCTTGCTGTGCACAAATTGCCTCCTGTTATCCTACAACAGCAATTCCACTTCTAAAGTTACTCCTTGATTGTGAAGTGTTCTGACACGTGCTAATATGAGTGGTTCTATTGAGTTGCAAGTCTCCTTTGTTAATTTGCGATCATTCCATTACAGGGTGTCTCGGGAAATATCGGCCTGCCTGGAGCTCTCGGTCTCCCGGGCACACCTGGATTGAAAGGTGAGTGAAAGTGAGACAAATTCCAGTAACTCGGATAGATTTAGACTCAGTTCTCCCTGAGAAATGTGAGCAACGTTCTCAAATCAGTGTTGGGTTTTTTGGTGACAGTCTCAATCTCAATCTGGTGATCGGGGGCTGATCTCACTGAGCTGTTTCAGATGATGAAGGAGTTGATCAGGCAGATTGCTTCTGAGAGACGGAATCCAGAATAAGGGGGCGTTCGGGGATGATATTTGGAGACATTTCCTCGCACCAATGATGTACCTGATGGGCTGAATGGCCTACTCCTGCCCCTATTTTCAATGCTACTTTATTTCTGCAAAGAAAGGGGAAACCTAAAATTAAAATAGAAAATAGATGAAAATACTCAACAGGTCATGCAGCATCTGTGAAGAGGAATATTAAGTTCATCTTCAGGATGAATTGTCCTGTATCTTAAGTTTGAGTTCACCAAATCAAGCCATTTCAGCTCTTCATCCAATCAGGAGCCATGTCACTGAAGTCTCTGCTGATGCTGCTGGCCAATCAGAGGCTGGCAGCCACTGGGACATGGAGACCACAGTGAGAGTCCCAGCTGGGAAGGGCTGTGATGTTGTGCAGGTAAGTTTTTTTTTAAAGGAGCAGGTTCTCTGGTGAAGGGTCTAGGCCCGAAACGTCAGCCTCTCTGCTCCTGTGATGCTGCTTGGCCTGCTGTGTTCATCCAGCCCTGCACCTTGTTGTCTCGGATTCTCCAGCATCTGCAGTTCCTACTATCTCTGGTTCTCTGGTTGCAGTCTTTCAGTGAGATGGGGAGACAAGGCAGGGGGGTGGCTTCATTGTCCCTTCCTTGCCCATTATTGGCCCCAGACTGGGGCATACAAACATACAAAATAGGACCGGGAGCAGCTCATTTGGTCCCTCAGGCCTTCTCTGTCAGTTAATATGATCGTGGTCGATCTGACTGTAACCTCAGATCTGTATTTCCACACAATCTGATAATCATTCAGCCCCTTGTTCAACAAGAATTTATACGCCTCTGTCTTATAAATATTCAAGGACCCTGCTTCTTCTACCTTTACAGGGAGATAGTTGCAAAGACCCACGACCCTCAGACAGAAAAGAAATTCACTTAACCTCTCTTTTAAATATGGGCAATCCCTGATTTTCAAACAGTGTCACTGAGTTCTAGACTTTCCCACTTGTCTGGCGATTGTGATTTTCCATGGTTCCTTCTTCCCTTTCATTTCCTGATCTATCATTGTTTCTGGCATGTGACTAGTATCCTCTCTCTTAAGACTGATGCAAAGTACCTGGCAAATGGAGGGCACCCTGCTATCCTGCAACCAGATAGCCCCTGGTTTTCCTGATGGGAAAACAGCTAATTTTCTGATTTACCGGGACAGCAGGTACTCGCTAGTGGTGAGTTCAGGCCCTTAAGCAGCTCTAATTGATCTCTTCAGAGTTTTCATAGGCACCAGATCAAAAAGGACCTTTCTCCCAGAATTTATTTGCTGAGGTGGAAAGGGTACTCGTATCTCTGCTGGGCAAAATAGCCCAATTATTTGCTGTTCTCTCCACTTCCCTCTCCAACTCCAAGGAGAGGAAAATCAATCCCATAATTTCAGGTCACTAAAATGAGGGTAGCACAGTGGCTCAGTGGTTAACACTGCTGCCTCACAGCACCAAGGTCTGGGGGTCAATTCCAGCTTCAGGCAGCAGTCCATGTGGAATTTGCATGTTCTCCCCGTGGATTTCCTCTGGGTGCTCTGGTTTCCTTCCACAATCCAAAGATATGCAGGTTAGGGTGGATTGGCCATGCTAAATTGCCCCTAGAGTTCAGGGATGTGTTGGTTAGGTGGATTAGCCATGGGAAATGTAGGATTACAGGAATAGGGTAGGGAGTGAGTCTGCGTGGGGTGCTCTTTGGAGGGTTGGTGTGGACTTGATGGGCCGAATGGCCTGCTTCCACACTATAGGGATTCTACGACCTCCACCAGAACCCTCAACCAAAAAGCCTTTGAAATTGGTGATCAGTTGAAAATGTCTAAACTGAGAATGATAGATTTTTAACAAACACAGAGAATACTGGAGTAACCCAGCAGGTCTGGCAGCATCTGTGAAGGTAAAAACAGAGCTAACGTTTCGGGTCTGGTGACCCTTTCTCGGAACTGAAAAGTGGGTTGTTAATTGTGGGAAGTTGACGATGAATTACAAACTAAATGGGTATGTTAAACGGGTGTAATTACTCTTGTTTCAGTGTAAAGTGTGCAAGTGTTTCACTCTTTGACACAGCACTATTGTTACATGCCTTGCCACAGGTGAACTAGGAGATACAATGAACATTCCAGGACGTCCCGGTTACAAGGGCAAATATGGAGATCTGGGATTGAAAGGTCAGTGTTTTGCCATTGTCTTAACTCAATCAGATAGTGTCCATGTTTATTCTGGGTCCTACGTTAACCCTGTGCATTACATTTCAGGAGCATCGGGTCCCCCTGGTCTACCAGGCACACGTGGACCTCCAGGAGAACCAGGCATTGAGGGGATGAAAGGATCTCCAGGTGATCAGGGGCTCACAGGTAAACAAGGTGAGTATCCTGCTCTGAATCCTCATGGCCTGAGTACCAAGGACCAGGAGACAATATTATTCTGTTTACTCACCTGAGTGTTCATGATTTCTATATAATCACCTAAGAATCAAAGATGCTGTTTGGTTAATTTTAATTCACCCATCCATTAAAAACAATCTTTTACCTGACAATAACTCCAGGGTTTGTGTCCCCATTTAGTGCAAGTGTTGAACATTCTCAGTGTCAATTTCAGCCCTCCCAATGTCAGTCAGCATTACCAAGAGGCAGAATCTCTATAGTGTGGAAGCAGGCCATTCAGCTCATCAAGTCCACACCAACCCTCTGAAGAGCATCCCACCCAGACCCACGCCCTACCCTATCCCTGCATTTCCCATGGCTAATCCACCTTACCTTCACACCTTTGGACTGTGGGAGGAAACCCATGCAGACACGGGGAGAATGTGCAAACTCCACACAGACAGTTGCCTACGGGTGGAATCAAACCCAGGGCCTGGTGCTGTGAGGCAACAGTGCTAACCACTGTGCCGCTCCAAGACAGTGACAAGCTATCGTTGAGGAGCAAATCAGGAGTGTGAGAGTGTGTTCTCTCTGTTTCAGGTATGGTGTTTAAAATTGTGGCCTATGTGTGGAAAGGCAGATGTTGCTGATTCCTCTCTCAGTCACATTTCCACATTCAACAACTCAGCTTCAGGACAGTGACCTGGAACATGCAGCAAATACAGTGCCTTCTCTCGTCTCCACCCCATCTCCTTCCCCACCTCGTCCCTCCTCCCCCTCCCATCTCCCTTCCGTGATTTCATCCCTCCCCTCACCGTGCTACATTAATGCAGGTTGTTGGACAGCAGGAGACGAGGAACAGCACCTCGCAAAATCTTCCCCATCCTCCTACTTTACCAGAACTGTAAGATGCAATTTTTTTTTTTCAGAAATAGTAAAGGTTTCTCACCCAGGTGTGAGGTAAAGAAGGAATCTGCATTTCTGTAGTGGCTCCATGCCCTCAGAATTCCTAAAGTGTTTCTCAGCAAATCGTAGCCTCTGTAGCAAACACAATGAAACAAAACGAGTGTTGCATACCAGGCAGGCTGGCCAAGAAAAGAGCTGGCAAATTAATATTACCCATTGCTGCTTCTGACAAAGCTTCCTCCTCCCTCACCCGCAACTGAGTCTTTGTGCATTTTCAGATGGAACTGATGCTTTGGTTGCTTTGACTGACAGGCTCCCCTGGTTACCCTGGGTTAGTGGGCGACAGAGGATCACGAGGTCCCACCGGCTCACCTGGTCCGAAGGGGTACATGGGATTTCCAGGATATCAAGGATCTACAGGTAAATAAATGTGTCAAGGCACGACCATAATCACATGCATCTGATGTAAAGCATGCTCAAGATTCTATAGAAAACACTGGGGTGGATTAAAGCTGTCCACAGTGAATTAGAGGGAGCAACACGACTACAATATTTTTTTTTGTTCAGCACTGCCATCGAGAGGAATTCCACATCAGGGCAGCCCAATGTGAAAATGTAACCTAATATTACCCATGGATCCTAGAGTAAGTTTGGAGTAACTGGGTGCAGAGTCTCACTCTGCTGGAGCGGCGGTTGGAGATTAAGCCGAGGTACGGCAACGTAGCGATATCCAGAGAACGGGAGTTCAAATCCCACACTGGGTTTGTTGTAGATATTGAATTCAGTTTAACAATCTGGAAATATAAACACGGTCTCAGTAAAAGTCAAAAATGAAACTAGCAGGTTATCAGAAGAACCCAGCTGATTCATTCATTTACCTTAGGGTCTCTGGGTTATGTCCTGGCCCATAAATGTTTCCAGACCCACAGCAATGTGGTTGACTCTTAACTATCCTCTGAAATGGTTTCAGAAGACCAATGAGGATCAGGGAAGTAAACACGTGGCTAAAAGAGTGGTGTGGGAAAGAGGGTTTCCTTTTCATGGGGCACTGGCATCAGTTCTGGGACAGGAGGGATCTATACCGCTGGGATGGACTCCACCTGAACAGGGCCGGGTCCAGTGTTCTGGTGAAAAGGGTAAATAGGGTGGTCAATAGGACTTTAAACTAGTAAGTAGGGGGTAAGGGAGATATGAGTGTAGAGGAAGAATAACAATTAATGTAAGGCAAAGCAGCAGGTTAGCAGGTGACGAGGAAGCTTCAACTCCATGGAAAATTAGGAAAAAAGTTAAAGGGAAGGAGAACTCAAGAGCTGTTAGTAATGGAGATAATAGGACCCAAAAAGAAGGTGCAAAAACTGGCATAAGGGCACTTTATCTGAATGCTTGGAGCATTCGAAACAAGGTGGATGAGTTGATGGCGCAAATCATGGCAAATGGGTATGATTTAGTGGCCATTACAGAGACATGGTTACAGGATGGTCATGACTGGGAGTTAAATATCCAGGGGTATCAAACTGTTCGGAAGGACAGACAGGAAGATAAGGGAGGTGGTGTCGCTCTGGTTTTTAAGGATGATATCAGGGCGGCAGTGAGAGATGATATAGGTTCTACTGAACAAAACATTGAATCCATTTGGGTGGAAATTAGGAATAGCAGGGAGAAGAAGTCACTGATAGGTGTGTCTATAGGCCACCAAATAATGACATCGTGGTGGGGCGGGCAATAAACAGAGAAATAGCTAATGCATGTAAAAATGGTACAGCAATTATCATGGGGGATTTTAATCTACATATCGATTGGTCAAACCAGGTCGGTCATGGCAGCCTTGAGGAGGGGTTCATAGAATGCATCCGCGATAATTTCCTTGAACAATATGTAATGGAACCTACGAGGGAGCAAGCTATCCTAGATATACTCCTGTGTAATGAGACAGGAATAATTAATGATCTCACAGTTAGGGATCCTCTCGGAAGGAGCGATCACAGTATGGTCGAATTTAAAATACAGATGGAGCGTGAGAAGGTTAAATCCACTACCAATGTCCTGTGCTTAAACAAAGGAGACTACGAAGGAATGAGGGAGGAGTTAGCTAAGGTAGAATGGGAGCAAAAACTTTACGGTGGGTCAATTGAGGAACACTGGAGGACTTTCAAAACGATTTTTCACAGTGCTCAGCAGAAGTATATTCCAGTGATAAGGAAGAACTGTAGGAAAAGACAGAGCCAGCCAGGGATGTCTAAGGAAATAAAGGAAAGTATCAGATTGAAAAAAATCACATACAAAAAAGCAAAGATTAGTGGGAAACGAGTAGACTGGGAAATCTTTAAAGGCCAACAGAAAGCCACAAAAAAAAAGTTATAAAGAAAAGTAAGATAGATTATGAGAGTAAACTAGCTCAGAATATAAAAACAGGCAGCAAAAGTTTCTATAAATATGTAAATGGTAAAAGAGTGGCGAAGGTAAACATTGGTCCTTTAGAGGATGAGAAGGCCAATTTAATAACTGGGAATGAGGATATAGCCGAGACATTACACAGTTATTTCGTGTCGGTCTTCAGGGAAGACACAAATAACATGCCGAAAACTAATGGCAAGAAGGTTATAGCAGGCGAGGACCTAGAAATTATCATTATCACTAAGGAGGCAGTGCTGGGCAAGCTAATGGGGCTAAAGGTAGACAAGTCTCCTGGCCCTGATGAAATGCATCCCAGGGTACTAAAAGAGGTGATGGAGGAAATAGCAAATACACTAGTAATTATTTACCAAAATTCACTGGACTCTGGGGTGGTTCCCGCAGATTGGAAAACAGCCAATGTGATGCCACTGTTTGAAAAAGGAAGTAGACAAAAAGCAGGTAACTATAGGCCAGTTAGCTTAACTTCGGTAGTGGGGAAAATGCTTGAATCTATCATTAAGGAAGAAATAGCAAGACATCTGGATATAAATTGTCCCATTGGAAACACCCAGCATGGGTTCATGAAGGGTAGGTCATGTTTAACTAATTTGGTGGAATTCTTTGAGGACATTACTTGCATGGTGGACAATGGGGACCCTGTGGATGTAGTGTATCTGGATTTCCAGAAGGCATTTGACAAGGTGCCACACCAAAGGCTGCTACATAAGATAAAGTTGCATAGTATTACAGGTAATGTATTGGTATGGATAGAGGATTGGTTGACCAGTAGAAAGCAAAGAGTAGGGGTAAATGAGTGTTTTTCTGGTTGGCGGTCAGTGGCTAGTGGTGTGCCTCAGGGATCAGTGTTGGGACCGCAATTGTTTACAATTTACATAGACGATTTGGAGTTGGGGACTAAGTGTGGTGTGTCAAAATTTGCAGATGACACGAGGTGAGTGTAGAGCAAAGTGTGCAGAAGACACTGAAAGTCTGCAGAGGGATATAGATAGTCTAAGTGAGTGGGCAAAGGTCTGGCAGATGGAGTACAATGTTGATAAGTGTGAGGTCATCCATTTTGGTAGGAATAACAGCAAAATGGACTATGTTTTAAATGGTAAAAAATTGCAGCACGCTGCTGTGCAGAGGGACTTGGGTGTCCTTGTGCATGAATCGCTAAAAGTAGGATTGCAGGTGCAGCAGGTGATTAAAAAGGCAAATGGAATTTTGTCTGCCATTGCTCGAGGGATGGAGTTTAAAAACAGGGAGGCTATGCTGCAGCTGTATAGGGTCCTGGTGAGGCCACACCTGGAGTACTGTGTGCAGTTTTGGTCTCCTTACTTGAGAAGAGATATACTAGCACTGGAGGGGGTGCAGAGGAGATTCACTCGGTTGATTCCAGAGTTGAGAGGGTTGGATTATGAGGAGAGACTGAGTAGACTGGGATTATACTCATTGGAATTCAGAAGAATGAGGGGAGATCTTATAGAAACATATAAGATTATGAAGGGAATAGATAAGGTGGAGGCAGGGAGGTTGTTTCCGCTAGCAGGTGAAACTAGGACTAGAGGGCATCGCCTCAAAATAAAGCGAAGCAGATGTAGGACTGAGGTCAGGAGGAACTTCTTCACCCAAAGGGTTGTGAATCTGTGGAATTCCCTGCCCAGTGAAGCGGTTGAAGCTACCTCGCTGAATGTTTTTAAGGCAAGGCTCGATAAATTTTTGAACAGTAAAGGAATTAAAGGTTATGGTGAGTGGGCGGGTAAATGGAGCTGAGTCTCAAAAAGATCAGCCATGATCTTATTAAATGGCGGGGCAGGCTCGAGGGACCAGATGGCCTACTCCTGCTCCTAGTTCTTATGTTCTTATGAATAGTGTAACTCCCCAACATGGTCTGCACCAGTTCAAGAAGGCAGCTTGTCACCACATATTTGAGGGCATTAGGGATGGGTAATAAACACTGAGCTACCCCTGGTGCCCACATCCCCTGAGAGGATGACAAAATAATTACCCAAGTCCCAGAAAGCAATAAAAAGAAAGCTGATTTTCCTCTTGAGTTTTAAAGCTGCAAAACTCTAGTGCATAGTCTCCCCAGTCAATTCTCTAGGTGCTCACTTCTGGCCAATAAAACTCCTCACGGGGAACAGTTTCAAAGCTTCATGGACCCACTAACTCTTATCATTTTTACGTTAAGTTCAAATTGCAGTTTAATTTTCCTTTAAAGCAGAGCCACGTTCCAATGTTAGCTGGAGCTGGTCTTCCCAGGGATGAGCCTTGCTAACTCTGAGCTAGACACATAGCCAGACAGACAGATAGTGAGAAATGTTTACCCTTGGTCACACCCCAGACAATGGCTCCTGGGTAGGCCTGAATCGTATTCTGAATCCTGGATCTGAATTGCCAAATTATCCCAGCAGTATGGAATTATCTATCAAATGCAGAATTCACCAACTTGATTCATCCCATCCCATTATAACCATTGCATTATACAGAACAGAAGGAGGCCATTCAGCCCGTTTTGTCTGTGTCAGCACTATGAAAGCGTTATCCAATAAAAAAGAAGTTTTCAGTAGTTTTTCCTTGGGATAAATAACCTTATCCCGTGCATCAATATCACTTTGATATTGCATCCAGTCCCTTATTTACCATGATTTTCACATCATACTTGTCAACGTGATGCAATAATGTCCTGATTGGGCAAGTTCCAAATCCAATAACTTCCAAAAAACATTTGCTTTATCACATTCCATGTCCAATTTCATTTGAGTTTTTTACACCTATTACTGATAGTTCAGATTCTGCAATTTTGTAATTATTCCTGATTAACCTCAGTGATTGTGCCCTTATGGTTTGATTATCATGTTAGAGAATTACTATATTCCCCCTGCAGCCTATGAATTTTCCTTGGCCCTTCTACTCATTTTGACCCTTTTCTTTTTTTAAGTAGTACATTAAATCCCTAGGATTAAAGTTTATCTCTGATAGAACAAATTTCACAGATTTCTGCCTTGATGAATGCCCTTTTTCCGTGCTTTCAAGTGTGCAGAAGAGTTGAAATTAATAGTGGTTCTTGGAAGGCCATGAGATAATCATTCACTGCCAAAAGCATTTGTAGATTTTTCCCATGAACCTACTAATACCAAATCTAACCCTCAATCTTTTGAAGCAAATTCTTTGCATGGACAGGGTGGATGTTATTTAATAATTTTGAAGATTTATAAAGCAACACATTAATAATTGAGATAACAAGATGTACAGCTAGATGAACACAGCAGGCCAAGCAGCATCAGAGGAGCAGGAAGGCTGACGTTTCGGGCCTAGACCCTTCTTCAGAAAATAATTCATTAATAATTGTGTGATTTCTTTCACAATGCAAATTACTGCTTGTTGAGTTCAGCAGTACAGTGTTTATCTTCTCACACACACCCCTTAATTTGTCATGCTCAAAATCCGCTCCACCAGCCAACTTCATTGTCAGTTCACAATTTAGCAGGGACCCTGCAGTCCAGTGGCTATCCATGTATCTACGATCTTATTCACAATGATTCTTTTGATTTTACTGTGTGTTATTAGAGAGAGTCTGAATTTTGTTTATGAAATTATGAATTGTATTTGTCATCTGCCACCCTTGCATTCTTTGGAGGATAGTTAATGTGTGACTAGAGAGATGACCAAATTATCAGTGTAAATTTGAAGAAAATGTAAATTCCAATAACCTGATGCCATTAGCACTACTTTAATATTTAACAATGTGATTAGAGATGTTGAGTTTTTTTTGGATGATGCAAGAATGTCCTGATTGGATAAACTTTGGCTTTCCAAGGACAATTGCTTTGTTGTGTTCCGTGACCAATTTCACCTGAGCCTCTCTCACTGATGGTTTGCTCTCAGCAGTAAGATTGTCTCACTTGATGTGGGAGTATACAACATCTGTACTGATACAATGGCTTTAGGGTGGCACCTATCCTAGGAGGGCTGAATTAAGCGGGGTAGACTCATGACCTGAACTAGTCTGCACCTTTATTCTGTTTTGACAAAAATTGAGAACATGTAGTGATTGGAACAGGTGATCTCATTGAATGAGTTCCCTAATTAGGGTTGTTAACCCTGGGAATATCAGGGAGCCATGGCTGACACATATAAACAGGAGTCTTCACCCCTCCAATTCTATTTTGATTTGATCCCTACCAACCCCCTCACTTTTTCTTTCATGTAGGCTTTGCCCCTAGGGACTCTGCTTGATACTGATTCTTTGGTCACACATGGGTGTTTTTTCCTGGTGACGGTACGTTAATAAAGTTGTTTGCATACCTGTTTTTTTTACACACCCGCACACGCACAAACAAGGGTGCTGTGGAAAATAAGCTGTATGGCAGTAGTGTAAGGAAATTAAAAAACAAAAAAAAAGTATAGCCAGGAGATTAGGATCTCCTCAGTTCAGGGGACTGGCTCTGAGCTGGCTGGTCACAGCCAGTGTACTGTGCACAAAAAATAAATAAATAAGCAGGAGTCTCTTCCACCACGCAGACACACCTTGGCTTGCCTACTTACTGCTGAGCGGTGGGGATTCCCAGTGGAAGGGTCTCTAAGCGGGAGTCCTCCCTCTTTCCCTTGAGGATCTGGGATGGAGAATGCTGCATGCAGCAGCCTATTATAAATGCAGACTGCAGTGGCTTATGGAATCCCAGCCCAACCGCTTATTTCGTGGTGGTGCTGTGGAGTCCGTGGACCATGTTATATTATTGGTTGTGGGTGTTTGCACTCCCTTTTTAGTTACCTGAAAAACCTTTTGTTGTGTTTTTGGGTTGCACTTCAGCCGCACGCTTCTGATCTTTGGGTACCCAGTGCGGAGGGGTGTGGGCAGATTGGAGGATTTCCTTACAGGCCTGCTCCTGGGCTTGGCCAGGCTGGTATAAACATGTCCAGGCAGTGGGCCGTGGAAGGGGTCGTCTCCGCTGACCGCCTATCCCTGTTCTACAAGTTATGTTCCGGGTGTCATTGGAGAGGGAACTCACGGTGTATGCCAATGCTCTTGATGCCTTTAGGGAGAGGTGGGCACTGCAGGGGTTGGAGTCCTGTATTTCCCCCTCCAATCCTATTTTGATTCAATCCCTTCCCTCCCTCTTCACTTCTTTACATAAGCATTGCCCTTATCGGGGTTTACTTGTTACTGGTCCCTGGCCACATGGGTGTTCTTCTTGGTAATGGAAATATTGAACAAAATTCTTACACAATGGTGTCTTTTTTTTACTGAGTCACGATTTGGAGAAAAATTAAGTATTACTACTGAGGAGTAGTAGTAAGAAAAACAAAAAATTAAGAGAGTCTCAGAGTCTCCTCACTCTAGGCTCTGATACTGAGCTGGCTGGTCAGAGTCCATATACTGTGCTCATGTAAATAAAGGGTGACTTGGTGACAGGATACCAGCCTTTGTAGAGTTATTTCAGAGCGAAAACCCAGAATTGAGTCCCAATCGTCATGATTAAAGGTTCGTAGGGTCTCCCTGACTCTGGGCAATATTTCGAGCAATGATCCAGCCCGTTGTGCAGGAGAAAGGTCAGGTCAGAAACAGATCACTGTGGGTCAGTGAGACACGTGAGCATCGTCCCTGTATCATTGGAAGGCCAGTGTTCAGATTCCTTACACCTCCCTATCACTGCAACCTTCATCAGCCCCAAAACCAGTGCTTCTCTTTCTTTTTTCTTGGTGTCACCCCATTTTAATGGCCAGACTGTGACCCCAGAGGAAGATAATTGTGACAAATGGGATGGCCTACAGGAGCTGTGAAGTGGGGCTAAAGAGGAAGTGGATGTTGTTACTGAGTGGGGATCTTTTCTTCCAGCAGGAGTTGGGCCTCAAAGGTCTGTCTGTTTGTCCGTGCCTACTAGTTTAAAAAAAAAGAGGACGTAAATGGGCCAGAAATCAATCTAAGCTCCACAGCAGCCATTGCTTTGACTCCAAAATCTCAACTGGGGTCACAACCCACAATTTCAAAAGCCCACCAGGATCTTTGAACTCCTCTAACTCTGTCATCTTCACCGTTTAAAATAATTCCATTATTGGTGCCATGGTTGCTCGGGGCCTACATTCCGGCCTTTTCCCCCTAAATCTCTCTTTCTGCCTCAAGGTATTCCTTAAAACCTATAGCTTTGAGTAGTTTTTTTGATCATGTGTTCCTATATCTGCATTTAGTGTCAAATCATGTTTGAAAATCACTGCTGTGAAGCACCGTGGGACATTATACTGTGTTAAAAAAAGCCATCTAAATCTATGGTTGCAACATCCACTGATAGTAGGAATTTGTGTTTGATCTAGGCCCAAAGGATGGGAGAGTAAAACTCCAGCTCTTCTTGTAATCTGCCAGATCAGACTGGGCCAGCATCTTTCCAACTTACAACACTTACACAAACTTTTCATTTGGGCACCAGATACCCTGTCCTCTGACTCCTAATCCATTACTACCTTGTTACAAACTTCACAGGTCTGGCCAGTCGGCTGCCAGACTGGTCGATTATAACACAAAACTCTTTTTAAAAAGCCTCTGAGTCAACCTTTCACAGTGATCCCAAACCTCAGGAGATTAAAAGATGGGAAGCTGGAGTCTCTGACTCTTCCTGCTTCAGAGGACAGGCTGCGATTGGTTTATTAATGTCCTGTATTGTATGAACCGTGTTCCCCAGCACTTTGTGTGTGGGATGTCTCATTTGATTGGGTCTGGGGAACATTGGGATTACAAGACCAGAACAGAGCAGTACCTATCAATGTCACCTCCCACCATCCTATTCATCACAAATACAAGAATATTAGAGCTCTTGGTCAATGGCAGTGATCAATCTCTATTGATAAGTTTACCTTAAACCCAGACATGGAGTGAAATCAACCTTTGGGAACCAAAGATCTAAAAGCTTCTCCTGTACATAGGAACAGATAATTTCCTAATAAATGGCGAGTGAGTCAGAGTTTTCATGTTGGAGATGTGGAATTTCTGTACGATCTCCTCCTGCCTGCCCACTCACTGTGACACTGGAATTCATTCATTGTTTCCTTGCCCTCCGTTCAGGGGTTTTCCAGACCTAGCAATCAGATTTCAGCAGGTTACCCCTCAAAGGCAAATCTTCCATTGATGAGTATCTTTATTGACTCTGTGGGTTTTTTTTTAAAGCTCAGATGATTTTCAATGGAAACCAGTGAAACTTAAGTGCTCGGGATATTAATACTGACACATTTGAATTTTGATTGCTCCCACAGGTTTGTTGGGTCCTGATGGTCTGCCTGGTTTAGATGGGTTAAAAGGAAACAAAGGCTTCCCAGGATCCCCAGGTACAGACTGTAGATTTTTCTCTGATTACTCTCTACATGGTACAGATAACAGGAGTTCGTATATTCTCATGACCCCTAATAAATTCTGTTAATATTCATGCTGTTGTCACCTTTAAGGCTTAACTATTCCAAATCACTCCTGGTCTCCCAGAGTCTACCCACTATAAATGTGAGGCCACTCAAAACTCTACTGACTGTGTTTTTCATCACACAAACTCCTGTTCAATTAGCACGCACTGTGTTCATTGGCCTGTATTGGCTCTGAGTTGAGCAATTCCCTAAGATTGTTTCCAGTTTCCTCCATGGTCTCTTCTTGTGTCTGTAGATCCCTCCAGCCTGTAAACCCTCTGCAATCCTCCCATTCTGGTATCTGGAGCATCCTCAGTTTTAATCATTCCACAATGCTTTTGATTGCCTACACCCCAAGCTCTGGAAATCTCTTGCTAAAACTCTCCAATTTCTAGTCTTCATTTCACTCCCTTAAGACACCCTTTAAAACTGAATAACACTTTGATCAAGCTAATATCTCCTTTTGTAGCTCGTAGTCAAATTTTATCTGATAAAACATGCGGGAAAACACCTTGAGATATTTTGCTATGTCAAAGATTCCTTTTTTTTTGTTGAAAACCTTTTATGTGGTAGATGTTGCTTCAGTCTCCTGGAGTGGAACTTCACAAAACTCCTGCCTCCCATTCCACTCCCCACTCCTGGGAGCCCAGATCAAGGTCCAATGAGACTCAGTGCAAACACAAGCTGTGAAATTCAGTTCTTTAGTATCGGCTTTAGCAAAGCCCAAACCTCTGTCAGCTAGGCAATTGCCTGCCACTGTCAGCAAGGGAATAAGGTTGCAGATGGTGGGCAATTGGGCCAAAATTGGTGAATGGGTGTTGGAGGCTGGAATTAGCTGCCGTTGCTTATTCACAGCAAAGATCCCCAGTCCGAGGTGCATTCTGGGGGTACTGGAGCTGGGTGGGATGGGTGCACTAGCATGCAATGTGGGCTAATCCTTTTAACCCACCCACCCCCTACCAATGGGAGAAAGCATCTGGGAAATAAACTTGCAGCTTTTCTCTCGTTTAACCTTTAGGAAACTTTTAGAAATATTAATCCGGGAGAAAATGAGCAGTCACTTGGACAAATGTGAAATCATGAAGGAAAGCCAGCAGAGATTTACTAAACAATAGTTTAACCAGATTGGGCCATACGGTGGCTCAGTGGTTAGCACTGCTGCCTCACAGCGCCAGGGATCCGGGTTCGATTCCATCTTCGGGCAACTGTCTGTGTAGAGTTTGCACGTTCTCCCCGTGTCTGCACTGGTTTCCTCCCACAGCCCAAAGGTGTGCAGGTTAGGTGGATTGGCCATGGGTAAATTGCCCATAGTGTTGTGGGATGTGTAGGCTAGGTGGACAATCCATGGGGAAAAGCAGAGCTACACAGATAGGGTAGAACGTGGGTGCAGTGCTCCTCAGAGGTTTGGTGTTGACTTGATTGGCTGAATGTAGGGAATCTATGAAATTGTGTGTGTGTGTGTGTTTTTACATGGTAACAGAAAGTGTTGATGAGGGTAGTGTAGTAGATGTGGTACACGCAGACCTCTACGATTATGGAATGTGGGATGGGACCTTGTACATTCGGTTAAACAAGAAACCAAGGACTCAGTTCAGTGTCAATGCTGCACTCCCTCACTACAGCACTGAATTATTAAGCTGAGCTAATGGCTAAACCTTAAACCTACATCATCCTATCTCTGAAGGTAGGGCTACAAATACACCAAGCTCACAATGAACATTCCACTCTGATTGCAGTGTGTAACATTGCTCTTTTACGAACAGGTCCAAGCGGGAGAGGATCTCCAGGTGAACCTGGTCACCAGGGTGAGAAAGGGGAGAAAGGATTACCCAGCACCAAACTGGGGGAACCAGGGCTGCCAGGGGAAGTTGGTCCCAGGGGTGATGTCGGTAAGTGTTGGTTAAAACTGTTTGACTCTTTACATGTTGAATGATGCAAAGACTCTTCCCACCAAAACCCCTGCTCACCCCTATCACAGAGACCACGTTTGACAAGTTCCGATTCTAACACTGAATGATTCCTCCGCAAACACTCACTACTGGTTTCTCATTTATTTCAGGTGAACCAGGCCTCGCTGGTGCAATGGGACCTCCTGGTGATCCAGGACCCCTGATCCCATCGAACAAACCAGGAAAAGCAGGTGATCCAGGCCCAAGAGGAAGTGAGGGTCCACAAGGTAAATTAGATCCCTGAGTGACCGTGATTGGTCAGGATTCTCACTAGATCACTACAATTGATCAGAATGCTCGTTGAGTAGTTGGAAAAAGCTTCATTCATTTGCATTGTGTATTGTGAGACCGTAGAGACAAACCATGGATGGTGAATCGAAGAACTGTCAACATTTACTGACATTAGAGTGAGTGCCTGATGTGCATGCCGAAATCTCCTCGAACACAGGAGCTGCATTCAGAGAGTTGGTGTCAGTGATGAGCCATTTGGCTGACGCAGCAAAGATGTTAAGCTTTGTCCTGGGCTTTCTTATAGGTTACCCTGGCCGACCTGGTCCCTCTGGCAGGTGGGGACAACCTGGAAACAAGGGTGAGAAAGGGATTCCAGGTGCACCTGGCTTCGGAGGATCACCAGGGATCCCTGGTGATAAGGGAGCTTCTGGTCTTCCAGGTATCAATGGCATTCCTGGAAATAAAGGCAAGTCTGACATCTCTTACAAATATAAAAAGTAGATTGCTTTATCGTGGGAAATTGTATCAAACTAGTTATTACGTAATAAACTTATTAAAACACAAGGAATTGTAATATTTGCAAGGCAGTGGGCTGTATTGGATTGGTTGGTAGCACCCCATTGGTCACCTATTAATGTCCCAAATATATTCCATTCCAGTACCTTCAATAACTCTGAATATTGAACATGTGACATAATGGTTTACAAACACAACTGTCTTTCTCCCTCCCACATCCAGTTTCACCCTCTCCCATAGTCTTCCAGAGATTAGCCAAATTCATGGGAAATCCAGGTCACATCTCTGGATCAAGTGGGGACTTGAACCCAAATCTTCTTGTCCAGAGGTAAGGACACTACCACCATGCCACAAGAGTCCTTGACTACTGACCAATCAGTTGGAGGGATAGAAGTCCCATCTCCAGCAAACCAGAGTTAATTCATTACAGGATAACTGATAATGACAGGGGCACGTTCACCATCATCAGAAAAATCCATCTATAGTGATTGTAATGGGGTCAGCCAGGTGGACCTCATAGAATATGAGTTCCCTGATTGGGGCTGTTAACCTGGTCCAATCAAGGAGCCCTGGCTGACAGATATACAGGAGTGTCAGGGGTTCTGTTCGCTCTAGGTGCTGGCTCTGAGCTAGCTGGGACAGTGTCTCACGTACCATGCACATGTAAATAAAGGGTGACAAGGTGACAGATACCAGCCTCTGTGGAGTTATTTCACTATTTATGTTCTGTATTATGCTCAAAATATTTGTAACTTACTTTTAAAATATATATATGTTGAAAGGTCAAAGAGGTGACCAGGGTATAATGGGTTACCCTGGGAAAGCCGGACCACAAGGAGACCGTGGAGTCCCTGGACAGAAAGGTTCAGTGGGTCTCGCTGGTAAGTGAAGCATGTGCTCTCTCCGATCAACATTGTGACAGCTTCCTCTCTCACAGTTCACCCTACAACTACGCCTGAGCTTTTGTAATAAATAAGACAGACGTCAATCACATGCACACATGCTTGAAGGAACCTGAGGGGACCTTCACAACCCTGTCAGACTGCCTTAGAACGTGACAGGACCCAAAGCAGGATAGATTCACATCCAAAAGTACCAGGTCCCATTTCAGTTTCAACCCTGATACTCCACCCCTCACCAGGAATCCTGGATCAGTTAATCACCCTTTACTTCTCGCAGTGGACACTTCTATGATAATATCTCTCCGTGATAGAATCGGAACTTTCTGACTCTGCATTCTGTATTGATTTCTTTTCCTCATCTTTGACATTTCTGGGAAAACCCAGCATTTACTGAGGATAATGGTTGGGACATCCTGGAGGAAATTCTGATGTAACTTGAATATTTACACCTGAAAACTTATTACAGAACTCCAGTCATTCAGCCCAAGGAGCGGTAAGCCAGGCAATGTTCCAGCTCTTGGTAAAATAGGGCTGAATGACCTTTGTTTGTTCCTGCTTTCCTTTCCCAACAAGTTTCAAATTTCCAAATCCCGACCTGGCATCATGTGGGTTTCAGACTTAATGTCCAGCTCCTTAAGGAAGATGCAACTCACAGGCACTTACAGAAGCTGGACACTACAGAGATGTCAAGACTTCCAGAAGATATTTGAAAAAGTTCCACATGAAAGACCATGACTTGCACCCAAAAGTGTGAGGATTCAGGCTAAATCTCAGAAATGGAAAATAACCTGGACAGATTGTAGAAAACACCGAATCATTGCTGGAGGCGAATAGGTAGAAATGTTGAGAAACTCAGTGTTGGATTGATGTTGGTTATAATTCACACTCACGGCAACATAGTCAGATTTTGCAGACATACCAGATCAGGAGAGGGTGGGGACTGGGGTCAGAAAGCTCGGTGTATGTTAGATGAGATCTGTTTTTGCTAATTCTCTCTCTGAATTGAATGGGTTTCCAGGTTTATTGGGATTGCCCGGCCCACAGGGACCAGCCCCTCTTCCTCAACAATTCTCCGCTCCGCGTGGGGCTAACGGCACTCCAGGAAATCCTGGGCGTCGTGGTTTTCCAGGAGACCCAGGCCCAAAGGGCATTCGTGGGGATGAAGGTGAGAGTGCAAACATCTGTTTAGTTTTTCATTCTTCCACAAACGTCTGAGGAAGTACATGCTATTGTCTGGAGCAGAGCACTTAGAACAGTAGAATGACGCCTTATCCTGTACTATTCTAGCTGACTGCATTGTGTGAGCACTTTGATACATGCATGCACATGCACACAGACATGTGTACACACACACGTGCGCATGCGCGTGCAGACACACACACACACACACACTCTCTCTCTCACCCTTCAATGAGATGGCCCACACGCACCTTCCTCGCAGGAACTAGGAATGAACAAAAAGATGGTCACTATGTTATTGCTATTTGTGGGATCTTGCTGTGTACAAGTTGGCCATGTCCTATGTTACAACAATGGACTCCACTGTAAACGTACTTCACTGGCTGTTTAAAAAAAAACACTTTGAAATCCTGGGATGGTGAAGGTGCTATGGAAAGACAGGTTTTTATTTTCGTTCATATGTCGAACCTTAATGTCAGACAAGCTGGAGAAGAGCGTGCGAGGATAGATACTGTTGATGTTGCTGCTTAAACCAGCTTATGTGACTGATTCTGAGAGTCTGTTTAAATATCTCTGGTTTTGTGTTGTGTTTCTCTGCACAGGTGTGAAGGGCCCTCGGGGTAAACCAGGAATCCCCGGGCTCACCAGCTCCCCGGGGAAAATGGGTCCCAGAGGTGAACCAGGTCCAGTCGGTCAACAAGGACCTTTGGGATTTCCAGGTACAACACCGTTGCCCGCAGCACACCACCTGAGTGAGGGGAGGAGAATGGGGGCAAGGCACGTCCGAGATTCAACCTGTGTGACAGGGCAATGCCAGCCAGTTTCACGCTCCACCCCATTCACGTTAATTGCTAAAATAATTTTCGATAGCACCTGGCCCTCCCCAGCCTCAAAACCTCTTCCCACAATGTTTTCATTCTCAAAGGCCAAGATGCTGAAAATGTGAAATACACACCAACCATGCTGGAGTTTCTCATCAGTGTCTACAGAGAGTGAGGAGGAGTTAACATTTCAGGTGTGTGACCTTTTGTCAAAACGGAGACAGTAAAGGGTGATGTTTTCACTATTCAGCCATGCAGCAGTCTGGAGGGTGCAAGACCCCAGGCCTGTTCCTGGTAACCGTGGCGCTGTGTGAAAATGGCACGTGTCCAGTAACAACATTCTACAAGGAGCTCTGTAGGGACAGGATTTGAGCTGTTCGTTGGCACAGTGCAGAAGACCATGGATGGAAAAGTCAGAGGTCATGCTTTACAACTTGCACTGTCATCCCTGTCACTACTTTACTTTCTTCTGCCTTTCTGTCTATTAGCCTGGTGTTGTCGTGAGATTTCTCCTCCCTTCTGCCTTCTCCCTGATTCGGTCAGCTGAATGAACCTCTCCCCCTCTCCGTACGCCCTTCCCAAACAATCACAGAAGGTGCAATTTTTGCCCATTTCACCTCCTGACTGTCCAAGGACCCAAACACACCTTCCAGGTGAAGCAGCAATTCACTTGAACTTCTCTTAATCATATCTACTGTACTCGCTGCTTACAATGCCATCGCAATGGGGAAGCCAGGCGCAGACTTCGTGGAAACCTCCACTCCGTCCGTATGAATGAGCCCAACCTTCCAGTTGCTTGCCTTTCAATAAATTATCTGGCTGCCATTGCTGACCTTTCCATCCTGGGTCTGCTACAATGTTCCAACGAAGCTCCATGTAAGCTGAAGGAACAGCACCTCACTTTCCGCTGAGGCAGTTGACAGTCTTCAGGGCTGAACATCGACTTCAACAACTTTTGAGCATACCCAATGTCTTCCCTTTGTCTTTTGTTCTGGGCACCATCACCATCTGTTCCATCTACTCCTCCTCCTACTCTGTCAACAGCATAACACTAACTAGTATCCAAGCCCTTTCAGCACTGAATAAGAGTCACACCAGACTCAAAATATTAACACTGTTTCTCTCTCCACAGATGCTGCCAGACATGCTGAGTTTCTCCAGAAATTTCAGTGTTTCAGATTTCCAGAATCAGCAGCATTTGGCTTTTATTTTATATTGTGTGTGCACATGAAGGTGTCAGGGTGTGTGTGTGTATATGTGTGAGTGTGCATGCGTGAACTGTGTGTTTGTCTGTATGTGAGAGAACCTGTGTGTGTGTGTGTGCGTGCGTGTGAGTGTGTGTCTATCTGTGTGAGAGTATGTGTGTCTTTTTGTGTGTGTGTGTGTGTGTGTGTGAGTGTGCAAGTGTGTGTCCATCTGTGTGTGTATGTGTGTCTGCATGTGTGAGACAGTGTGAGTGTGTGTCTGTGTATGTGTGTGAGAGAGTGTGTGTCTGTGTGTGTGTGTGTGTGTGTGAGAGTGCAAGTGTGTGTGTGTGTGAAAGAGTGTGTGTGTGTGAGAGAGAGACTGTGTATGTCTGTGTATAAGTGTGTCTATTTGTGTATTTGTGTGTCTGTTTGTATATGTGTGTGAGAGTGCATGTGTGTGTGTTTATGTGTGTGTCTGTTTGTGTAAGTGTGTGAGAGAGAGTGTGTGTGTATGTTTATGTGTGTGTGAGACAGTGTGAGTGTGTGTGTGTGTGAGGGACGGTGTAAATGTGTGTGAGAGCGTGCGTATGGGTGGTTGTGAAGTGAGCTTTGGATGTGAAGAAGGTTGTGAGATTGTGCACCATCACTCTCCTTCACATACTCTCCTTAGATCATCCTGTCACAAATCCATAACTATTTTTATCGTATTTTTTTCTGCATTGAACTGTCGAGCCTGACCTTTTGTTTTGTTCTGCAGGTGCCCGTGGGATCCCAGGAGTACGTGGGATGGAAGGGATGCCAGGCCGAAGCGTCAATGTGGGATACCTCTTGGTTAAACACAGTCAGTCACAGGAAATCCCACCCTGTCCACTGGGAATGAACAAACTCTGGGATGGATACAGTCTGTTATTTGTGGAAGGACAAGAAAAAGCTCACAATCAAGATCTGGGTGGGTTGCAAAATAATAATGTCAGACTTCCTAACGTTCATCCCTGTTTTCAAGTTGTTCTGTGTCTTACCCCTCTCTTGTACGGGTTTATGAATGAGAAGCCGGACTGCAATAACTACATTCCAGCTGTTGCCTAATTTTAACATGGCCTTTATAATTTTGACAATACTATGGGGATGCAGAACTTTTAAATCCTCATCCTTGATTTAATCTCTCAGAATTAACGTTAAATGCCCCTTAGTTCCGACATCACTTACTTCAACACTCGCTCTGCACTGACACTCCCTTGCTGCAGCTCTCCCTCAGACTGACACTCCCTTGCTGCAGCTCTCCCTCAGACTGACACTCCCTCGCTGCAGCACTCCCTCAGACTAACACTCCCACAGACTGACACTCCCTCGCTGCAGCTCTCCCTCAGACTGACACTCCCGCACTGCAGCTCTCCCTCGGACAGACACTCCCTCGGACTGACACTCCCTCACTGCAGCTCTCCCTCAGACTGACACTCCCTCGCTGCAGCTCTCCCTCCGACTGACACTCCCTCAGACAGACACTCCCTCGCTGCATTGACACTCTCGGTACTGACACTCATAGTAAACAATCCTTCAGTATGTTCCCTGTATCTATATCACTGTCTCCAGACCGTTCCCCTCACAGTTCAACGCTCACTCAGTGCTCAATGAGAAGGTTGGTCTGCTTTCTTTGCTGAACACTCTGCAATGGGATTTCAACTCAGGACCAGAGTTGAGGACAGGTGTATTATCGCTGAGCCAAGTGTGTCCATTATTTAGTTGGGAGAGGAACACAGTTATGTTCCTAATCTGTCAGAGCTCAGTTGTCAGAATGGAAACTGGAGAGAGCGAATGTTGGGATTGTCAGATGTGATACATGTGATAGCAGGTTTTCCTCAGTGCATTCATTCTGGCTGTTTCCCTCTCCAGGGTTAGCTGGATCGTGTATGCCAAGGTTCAGTACAATGCCCTTTGTGTATTGTAACATCAATAACATTTGCTACTTTGCAAGCCGAAATGACAAGTCTTACTGGTTGTCTACCAACGCTCCAATTCCAATGATGCCGGTTGCCGATGCCGAAATCAAACAGTACATCAGCCGGTGCTCGGTCTGTGAGACTCCCTCTCTGGCAGTCGCTGTTCACAGCCAAGACATTACAATCCCAATGTGCCCCACTGGGTGGCGCAGTCTGTGGATTGGCTACTCTTTTCTAATGGTAAGATTTTACATAACTTCAATGTGTCAAAAATCTCTGGTGTTTGGGACAGATAGTGTTGACTCATAGAATTCTATAGCACGTTTGGTTCATCATATCCATGCTGACTGTTTGAAAGATCTAAATGTGAGGTGTTGCATTTTGAAAAGGCAAATCAGGACAGGATTGTACACTTAATGGTAGAGCCCTGGGGAGTGTTGTTGAACAATGAGACCCGAGGATGCAGGTTCATAGCTCCTCGAAGCTGGAGTTGCAGATAGACAGGGTAGCTGAAGAAGGTGTTTAGTACACTTGCCTTGAGTTCTGAGGAAGGGTCACCGGATCCGAAACGTTAACTTTGTTTTTTCCTTCACAGATGCTGCCAGACCTGCTGAGCTTTTCCAGCAACTTTGTTTTTGTTCCTGATTTACAGCATCTGCAGTTCTTTCGGTTTTTATTAAGACAATAGTTAGATCACTTTTGGAACACAGCACTAAATTCTTGTCTCCCTGCTACAGGAAAGATGTTAAAGATGTTGAAAGTGTTTGGAAAAGATTACTGTGTTTCCAGGATTGGAAGATTTGAGCTGTAGGAGAGGCTGAAAAGGCTGGGGCTGTTTTCCTTGAGCATCAGAGGCTGAGGGTTGACCTTGTAAAATCAAGAGGGGCTTGGATAGGGTAAATAGCCAAGGTCTTTTTTTCCCCAGGGTAGGGGAGTCCAAAACTAGAGGGCATAGGTTTAAGAGGGGACCTAAAGGACACCTTTTTCACACAGAGGGTGGTGCATGAATGGAATGTGCTGCCAGAGGAAGTGATGGAGGTTGGTACAATTACAGCATTTAAAAGGCATCCAGATGGGTATATGAATAGGAAGATTTTAGAGGGATATGGGAAATGCTGGCAAATGGAACTAGATTAATTTAGGATAGCTGGTTGGAATGGACGAGTTGGACCAAAGGTTCTGTTTCTGTGCTGTAAAACTCTATGACTCTAGTCCTACTGCCTCTGCTCTCCACTTTAGTCCTATAAACTGATTACTGATCAAAATACCATTTGAATCTGCTAACACCATCCTTTCAGACACTGCATTCCAGCCTGAGATAAGAAAATTGTCTCTCCCCTCTGGTTTAAGTGATCTGAAATTTGTGACCATCCTGTCACCAGAAGCAACTTTCCTTGCTTTATCAAAGTCCTTCATAATTTTAAATAGTTTTTCACATCTCCCCTTGACCTTCTCTGCTTGAAGAAGATCAATTGCATCTTTCCAAGTCCCTCAGACCTGGACCCATTGTCGGAAATCTCTGCTCCCGCTTCAGTTGTCTCAAGGTTGTATTTTGCAGCTTTGGCCTCTAGGAGGAGAAACTTAATAAATTCACAGATGAGAGCCAGAGCTAGGATCATCTAGAATGAGTCCTCCGTCAGCTGGTATTCAGCTGACTCAACTGCAGATGTATTTCCTTCGATATGGAGAGATCCTAACATGAAAAGGGGCTGATCATTAACTAAGTGAGGTGGCTGTTTTCTGTGATGTTGAATCTGCGATCTGTGTGCATGAATATTCTGTACTTTCCCTTCCAGCACACAGCTGCAGGCAGCGAAGGAGGTGGTCAGTCCTTGGTGTCACCTGGCAGCTGTCTGGAGGATTTTCGAACCACTCCTTTTGTGGAATGCAACGGTGCCCGTGGCACATGCCATTACTTTGCCAATAAGCACAGTTTCTGGCTATCGACTGTTGACCCCGGCCAGCAGTTCAAGGAGCAACCCATACCTGACACTCTGAAAGCAGGACAGCTTCTAACCCGGATTGGGCGGTGCCAAGTCTGCATGAAGAATTTATAACAATCACCACCCCCCCCCCCCACCCCCTGCAATAAATAATCACTCACTGCCACCCTCAGAAATCCATAGGGTGAAGACAACAACGTGATGGACAGGAAAAAACTGGCAATCCAAATTATTTTGTTCAATTGCGCTGTCTTTGAGCTAGGAACCTCTAACACAGATAATACCTGACAAACCAATTATATAAATCACCCATTGGAGAGACCCCTGGCAGCAACATTTAACTTCATTAATGCACTAAATTCAGCTTGTTCTCTTTAAGGCTTAGCACTAAAAAAAAAAATGTTGGCACCACTAATCGAGGTTCACCAGCCAAGCCCTGGCCACAGAAGTGCGGGGATGAGAAATATCTGATTCCAACAAAAATTCCAACTTTTTCATGCAGTTGTGCTTTGGAATTTTTCCCATTCTGGCCCAGAGATGTCCTCCACTCCCACCTCTTTACTCTGCCACCTCTTACTCATTTGCTGGGATTGGGGAAGTGTAAAGGCTATGCTTTGTGCAGCTGCCACTGCAGTGTGCGGCCTGTCTTCCTACACTGGGGCATTGGTCTGGTGCTGCCTCCACTGCAACAGACTGTAGCCAAGGCCTGGGATTCAGGACTAGAGCAGAAGGAGCAGACCGCAGGCTAGGATCTAGGCTGTAGCTGGGTGGGTGGAGGAGTGGGACAAGGATGTTAGGAGCTTGCAGAACAACAGTCGAGCTTGCACTGTGGCTCTATTGAGCTAGCTGTAAGGTAGAAGCAGTGTGTCTTATGGTGTCTCATAGCTACAACAACGAGACTGGTTAATGCAGTATTACACTTCTATCCCAAACATCCCCCTTTAGATATTACAAAAAATGTACGTATTATCATTTACATAACAGATAACACACTGTGCACAACTATTCTCATGCATTCACAGTTTATTATTCTCATCAGGCCTTGCACATTTCAACCAGTCTTTACATCGCGTCAATCTCTTTGTAGTATTTGTTCATCTGGGTAATGTTCCTTCTCTGGGGAGTGTCAGTCCTTTGTCACTTGTTTTTGTTGTTGCAGTACCTGTTGTTCTATACCTCTGGGACTGAAGGTTGGTCTGAGTAGTTGATGAATTCACAGCTTCCTGCTTGGCTGCCTGCAGTGTCAGAGCAGCTCCTTCAGTGGTGCCTGTGCTTGTGATGGTGTAGTGGGTCACTCACTTCCGTCACATTGGCAGTTGCTCAACACGGGTCCCGAGTTGCCAATTTGGCTGACTCTTGTTGAACATTGAATGTTTGGACACTGTAGGTTTGGCAGTTTTGTGAAAATGAAATGTGTCTTTTTGAAATATCATTTTGATTCTGTCACTTCCGTCTTCTAGTTTCAGTAGCTTTTAGTTTTAAACTGGATAAGTAGTTTGGGTTTGGCTTGAGTGTTCCTACTGGATATCTTTCCATAAGTATGCATCTCTACTCTGTATGCTGGATTTGCTTAATTTCTTTATGATTTGGGAATTTTCACTGCTGCCTCAGCCTTTCCCTTTGACCTAGGGGGTAGTATAGAGATAATATATTATGCTAAATTTCCTAATCTTTGATGAAGCGACTGAACCCTTCACTCAAACTGATGGCCGTTGTCACTGTTCACAATGTTTGAAATGCCCTAACAACCAAGTATACTATTAGGCATTAAAAGTCTCATGGTGGTCATGGGAGGTAGACTAGCTGACTTCAAAAGTAGCCAGAATAAAGAGTCCACAGTGACAAGATAATGAGTTTCTGGGAGAGTGAAGACATCGACTCCCAGCTTCATCCATGGTCTGCCTGGGAACATCTGTGTCACCAGCAGCTCTCTTGTTTGCTTAGCTTGGTACTCACCAGGCAGTGCACAGGGCTGATATAGTCCTTGATTTCATTGCTTTTGCTCAGGCAATACAGCACCGTTATTATCTTCCTCAGACTCAATTCCTTGGTAACTTGTATGTATTTGCTTAAGCATCTTTCCTGACATTCCTTAGAGATAATGATTCTATTTCTTTTGTACAATAGTCTGTCAATTTATTTCTCCATTCCCAGTTTCTGTGACCACCGTTAGTGTCCTTTGTGTGTTCAGGCTATCCTTCCATCAGTTTTGTGTTGCAACATTTGAGAGTTACATCTTGTTGGGTAGTTTGCTTGATTTGAGTGAGGCACCATTGGATTCAATTTCAAATTCAATTAATAACTTCCAGAGCAAGTTGAGTTACAAACTTCATGTTAGATCTGTGGAAGATCTTAATACCCTATCCTAATATCTCTATGCTCTTCATAGGGAGTGTAGCTTTTGTCAGCATGTCGGAAGTTTACACCTGCCTCCCTTAATTATCATCTTGACCTTATGGTACATCTTCATTACCAGAGTAAGGCTTTGCAGACACTTGCAACAGATAGGAACAAAGTGAGGAAAATGCTTTGGAGTGGTCTGTGGTCAGGCAAGATTGTCAGTTTGAGGTAAATATTGATGAAAATATGCATAAGCAATGACAATGGCCAGGCACTCTTTCTCAATCTAAGTGTAGTATCATTTCATTTATGTTAATGGACTGGATGCAAACAGAACCAATTGTTCTTGCTGCATTAAGGTACTCCGCATCCTGTCTCGCTGGCATCACATGACAGGATGACTTCACCATCTACATCATTGTATTTCAGCACTGGCATAGCCATCACTCATTATTTGAGTCTAGTGAATGCTGTTTCTTGTTCTGTGCCCCAATACCAACATCTATGAAAGCGAGTTGCCACGGTAGTTCAAAATACAACAAATTGGTTAAGAACTTTGTAAATAGCTGACAAATCCAAAGAAAAAGCTGCATAACTTTTACATCTGTAGGTCACCTCATCGCTACTACAGCTATTGGGGATCCAGATAAAGATCTTTGCTGTCAGTTCATGAACTCTATGTTTGATTTTGGGCATTGTTTTCTTTTGGGGCAAATTTTTTTCTTGTTCAGCTTCAGGTTCATCTGATGGACTCTGTCCAGTAGTTACAGTAGCTTCTTCCCTTGTGTCTTGGAATCCATAAACTAGCAGATCAGTGATGTAGCTTCCATTCTGGGAAGATTCACAAACAGCAATCTATTGCTGTGTTGATACTTTTCTGGAGCTATGGAAACACTAAAAGGCATGTGCAACCATCTATCTCTCCCAGAATGTCATTAGAAAACTTTAATGACTACTCCTTTCTTTTCCAGCTCTTGTTTCTGACTTTCCAGTCAAACTTGAAGACAATTCGAGCTTCCTATGGAAGAGGCCGAATTAGTCTTACACTGTCATTTATTCTGTGATAATATTCTCTTGGAACTCAACTGAAAACTAAATCTTCAGCTAATATCGCTCCTGTATCTGTTTATGTACTTCTTTCAATATGATTCAGCTTCTTGCAATGTGAGCACCGCTATCCCTATGCTGGATAGGCCTTGGTCTTACCCTTTTGTCTATGAATCTTTCCACCTAAAACGCCTATCAGCAGAATGCAAGTCCTGGTCATTCTGCCATGAATATTCTCTTGCTGCTAATTTACAATCTCAGTGCTTCTGCACATGTGCATCCTTTTCCTTAGAGACTGTTTATCCTCTCGCAAGAGACATGCTCTCACTGCAGGATCTTTTATGCTTAACAGAATCTTGTTTTCTAGTATATTATCTTTTAAATACACAGTCACTGTACTAGTATTTGTGGTTTCGTTAATGCAAAGTGGCTGTAACACAATTGATGAATAGTGGACAGTGTTTGGATAACATGAACTTTTTGCTGTACAGGTATAGCGATTTTTCTATAGCACGAGATCACACAAAAACACAACTATCATGTTATAGGAGAACTGGGGTGGTATAGTGGTTAGCACTGCTGCCTCACAGCAGCAGGGACCCAGGTTCAATTCCAGCTTTCAGCGACTGTCTGTGTGGAGTTTGCACATTCTCCCCATGTCTGCGTGGGTTTCCTCCCACAGTCCAAAGATGTACAGGCTAGGTGGATTGGCTATGCTAAATTGCCCGTAGTGTTCAGGGATGTGTGGGTTATAGGTGAATGGGTTTTGGGGGGGCGGGGGGTTGCTCCGAGGATCAGTGTGGACTTGTTGGGCCGAAGGGCCTGTTTCCACACTGTAGGGATTCTAACTACCTGCAAGCTGCATTATTGCCGTCTCCTATCAATCAATGGATTCTTTTAGACGTTGGGCTCTAAAATTGAACATATATTATTTTTAAGTTACAATCATTTGGTGACTCAAAGCATACCTTCAAGACTTCCAAAATTTGTCTTCCCCACAACTCCCCATTCTTTGGTGAAATTTAGGTTGATATACACTTTGAAACTTCTTTCTTACACAATCCCAGTGACAAATGTGTAGCTACTTATTACTGTTTTGGCTTGTTAATTAAACCTGTCACTGCCTCATTGAATTGAATTTTTTCTACTTGTAGTTTCATATCATTTTGACTGGCCCCAGGAGAGGAATATCTGTAGCCATTGTGTCTGCTCCAGTAATAGTTCCATAAACAGGAACGAAGAAGTAGGCTATCTGTGGTTATTAGAAGCTTTCGGCAATTCTGAACATTTCTGTGGTCCACTTTTAGTAGCTGTGCTTCTGAACAGTTCTTCCTTTGACAAGTTTGAGGGCTCTCAAACTTGTCAAGTGTTTTTATTGAACTAGCTGTCAGATAGGTGCCCTCAGTGAGTGCCTCGTGGTAGCAGTCACATGATTACAGCAAGCCTGAAGGCCTGTTAATACAGCTTTGCGTTTCTATACCAAAGAGGAAGTAGGAATGGGACCAAGGCCTGGGATTTACACATGGTGGGGCAGGGCAGTCAGGAGCTTGGCACCATAGCTGAGCCCTGAACCAAGGTGGGTAGCAGCAGGACTGAGGCTTGAGGGCCGAGATCCAGGAGAATCACCACCCTCCCATAATCAGTCAATATTTCCTAAAAGGTTCAGGATGGGAATCTTACATTTAAAATATTTCTTCTTTATCCACCAGCATTAGTGCTGCTTTTCCATTGTAGCCCATAGCTGGGGAAGAGAGGGGTATTAGAGATAGCCAGGGTTGTGGAGTTGGCGGGGGCGGTGGAGAAGGTGGCGAACGTGAATGATTTGTTTGGAAGGGGGCTGGGAAAGAGGAGGGGGCTTCAGTCTTCTGTCCCCGTGGAATTTAGAGTTTGGCTGAAATCTACGGGAACGTAAAAAATAAGAACATCTTTGCAAAGTACTTTAAAACACTGACTTTCATATTTATCTTGTGTACTATAAATTGATTTCTAATACACAAACTTCAATAATAACATACCAGCTGTTACTACATTGCTTTATTGCTGTTTTGTTTTTTTGCTAGTTATGGGTCACATTAATTTTCATTCCAAAAGCAAATATATTTGTAAAGGAAAGCAGCCATCACTGGCAAGGCTAGCCTTTGTCAGCTATTCCTCATTGCCCCTTGAAAAGGCAGTTAGTTAAAAGGGACTACATTGGAACGTAGTTGTGAAGCACTGTGATAGTCCTGTTTTGCTTCACAGTACATAATCCAGCAAAGGTCATGTTCAGTTGCTAGTATGGACTTCATCCTGTATTAGACACACTAACCACGATGAATACTGAAATGGTAAGATCACTTTAGAGATTGGATACAAATGCATTGGTGAACTGTTGACTTTATCGCTGTCACTACAAAGGGGGTTACACGCTTGAAGACAAATAATTCCACCAAGTGGTCTGCAAGCATTTGCACTTCACTACAGATCATTATAGAATGTCATTATCCCTTGTCACAAAAGAATTTCAAACATTTGTACGAGTTAGGAGCAGGGGTAGGACATTCTGCCCCTTGATTGTTTCACCATTCATGTCTGATCAGATTACTCCACATTCCTGCCTATGAGAACCCTTCACCTCCTTAATTAAACACAAGACCATAAAAAATAGGAACACTGAAGCTATCTAGATATTTGTAACCTTCTTCTGTCCTCGTCAAAACTTGCTTTCTGACCTATCTTTGTCAGCAGCAAATTGAGAACCATACTAAGTCCTTTCATCCCAAGTAATTTACACAAATTTGTAGAAGTTGCCTCCCCAGCAGCACACCACTCATTATGTCTTGCCAAAAAGAGCTATTGATGCCTACTTTCTCTTTCCTGTCAAGTGAAGACCCCAGAGTCTGCATCTCTTTCTCGGACTTTAGCAATTCTCTTTCACATCCACCTCTACCTACTCCCTCTCTTCTGTCTGCATGACCTTTTTGTCTTTGGTCAGTTGGCCCATATAACCATCAATGGTGACTCAGTGGGTGAGAATCTTAACTCAGAGCCAAAAGGGTTTGTGTC